TAGGGGCTTAGGGGTCGGTATTTCTTAACTAGTTTAGCATTAATCCCGAGCCACCCTGAAGTTTACAAGAAGCCTCCGAGATGGGACGACCTCGGAGCGGATGGCAAAACAGTAGCGATTTGATGATGTAGGTCCACATCACATGATCATGATGAACATAAGACGAAACAACCCCAAACTGACGGTGAGGTCCAGTCTGAGCCGAAATCCTAACCACATACACCACGTGTGCATCGGGCCTAGAGGACCTTGCGGACTCTGAAACGGGTTCTACTGTTCATGTCCAAAGCCAAGCCTGCTATAACCCGTCGCAAGCATGCCTGCAATGCCGATGAAGGGTTCAAGTCATTCACTGAACTCTACCTTCCTGTGACGTGCCCTCAAAAATGGACATCCCATACAGATTGGAACTCTCAATACCACATGCGGCACGGATCTCTCAACAAGAACCCAAGGTTTGTGTGCAACGGGATAATGAGCTGGCAATGGTTCACAATTCCAAGCAGGGTGCACAACAACCAGAACGAAGAAGCAGGAGAGTGAAGCTCCAACCAACCTGACGCAGGGTTTGGGCAAGCGGAATGCGGAAGCCCAAGACCGGCTATTGAACTTGATCTATTTGATCTTCACATCTAGAGTCTGCCAGTCTCCTGGATAAAGCAGGATCAGGGCGCGACAGTAGACAATGCAAGTGGTCTGGGTCAGACCGGTTGTGTGGCTGTCTTGCTGCACCGTGCATCTCTCACCAATTACTCTTCACACGCTAATCAGCAACTTCATCTCTTCTCAAAACCTTGACAAAGCTGGAACATCATTTCAACATGGACGGGAAGCAATAGAAGCATTGAGAGAAAGATGCGCTGTCGGACTTCTCTGGGGCAAGCGTGGAAGCCATACATAAATACATACAGCTCATATATAGTTCGGACGAACAGCTGACAGCAATCTTGCCTGGGCCATCGACTTAGCTCAGTCGCAAACTCCGAACACCATCCTTGAGGCAGAGGGCTGAAAGGCAACGTTGACCAAGTCGCGCTCTGCCCGGCGAATGGCATCAAGCTCCTGGTCCACATAGAGTAGCAAATTTTAATTTTGCTGGGATCCCAAGCCCAGGCATCTCTAGTGTAAGTCTGGCCTCAAGCTGATCATCCGAGCTGAAGCCTGAAAAAGCACATCCCAAGTGCATCTTCCTGCCTCTCTCGGGGCCGCGGCTTCTTGGCTGATTGTCATAAGCAAGACCACCTCGAGTCGTGGAGCCGAAGTAAAGGCTCTGGAGGGCTCTTCTAGTTTTCCTCGCAAGTTGAAAACAATTCGGGAAACTGTCCACCGGTTTAGGCACAAAAGTGTTCAAACATTCTTGTTCTGATGCCCGCATCCCTACAAAATCTGAACCTGTTCTGGCATGCAGGAACTATGTCGGCAGCGTTGATTCCAGCAATGGAGTACCACGAAGAGCGATTGCGAAAGTGCTGCTGCAGAACGACAACGACGACGACCACCACCACCACCACCACAATAACAACAACAGCCCGGGATCCCTCATCTAGTGCCCCATGCCTTCGAAATTGATCCCAGAACCAAACAATTGAACTTAAGCAGCCATGCAGGCGGGATGTGCGCAGCATTTCTGCGGACGAATCGCAGCTTTCCCGACACTTCCGCATTCCCATCACCCATGGTTCAACGATTACAGACACCAAGGTCTTTGCAACTTCGCTGCGGAGCAGCCCGCAGGTTCAGATTCTTGATGCTTGGGTGTTGCAGGCACTACTTGCACGGTTTCTGACTACAAACTGATGAGGAGGCCAGGTAGGTATGCATAGAAATGAGTCGGTCCTTCCTCACATCTTCTCGAACCGGTGCATAAGTGCTTCCCGAAGCACGGACATGCCGACCACATGGGCGAAGAAGCAGACGTTGCCTGCGACCCCACACAGACCCGAACAAGTTGCAGGGCTTTTTTTCGAAGGACATCCTAGGAGGGAAAGCCTACACAAAGCCAGGTGTGAACCCGTCGCCAACATTTCGGGAGGGGCACCCTGTTTGAGACCAAACAAACTTTCCATCAGGCTCGGGGCTGTCGCAGGTTAAAAGTAGCGCAAAGAATCCATGCCACCGAAGCAGCCCATGAGAGCAAAAGTGCTCTGAGTGCGGCAAAGCAGCAAAAAAAGATCCGAAGGAGGGCCCTCGACTTCCGACTGGCCTGCGGCGGTATGAGAAACGCATTCTGAGTACATGCCAAACTGAGCTGACATCCACCGAAGTAAACAAAACTGACGGACAGAGCCACGGGGTCCCGATCTCAACTTGTGCTGACATCATACTTCGTATCCAGGGAGTAGGGACCGCTGCATAACAACACATTGACAAGAAGATCAGACTGACCTCAAAACCGTCAGGCCAAGACAAATCTCAGCATGACTGGCTGTCGTGTGCTTGACACATTGCACAAGCGGCACATAGAGATGCCATGCGCCACACAGCAAAAAGACAACCGTGAACAAGACCAAAGTGAAGACAGCGACCAGCCACAGACCCCATTCAAATCAGTAGGCAATGGAAACGTGCGGCACCGATCATTTAGGATGGGCCCAGGCAAGCAATCCCCTACCGCCTACAGACCATGCAAGTATCTTGGAAAAACGTTTATCTCATCTCTCACTTTGGTGTCAGCCTCCTGCTTCAGGCTCTCCTCCAGCTTACGAAAAAATTCGATGAACTCGCTCTGGGTCAAGATGTCGGACTTTTTCTCCTCTGGTCCATGGCACTTGCTGCTCGGAGCTGCCTACCTCTAGTAATCTAGTTAATCGGTGTGTCTACATATATATATATATATGCAACAGGGACGAAGCATGTAGCATCTGGGACGCGGGAGATTCTGCCCTCTGCGATATGCTGCACTTCGACTGACGCAGTGATGAAGAAAATCTTTGCAACATTGTGCCGCCAGCTGTTTTCACAAAAAACGCTGTCCAATCTCGCGTTCACGGTGTGCGGCATTGAAGTTTACGGGCACTCCTCATCCATCTCATTCAGAAGGTCCTCAAACGTGTTACGCGTCGTGTGGTACCCACACCTGAGCTGCGCAAGTTCACAGCGTAAGAACGAGACACCACTGGCTTCCAATTTGAACACTCCACACCACCTACAAGCGCAGGTGTCTGCATACATGTATGCATGCTTGGGCAGGAAATTTCGGGTGTCTAAGAGCAAGTGGAAGTCATGTCAGCGAACTCGAGTGAGACTGTGAGTGAGAGTAAGAGCGACAGTTTGTCGAGTGGGGGAGTCAGGCCTTGTCTGGGACAGGTGTGACAGGTGTGCTTCCGTTTTTGTTGAGCGCGTTCGTGGATGTGCGATGAGAATGGATATTGCCAAGGGCCCGACAAGAATAATTGTCTAGGAAACGTGCCAGACGACCTACATGTTTCGCATTTCAGCACACGAAGGCTGCGGAACAGTCATCTCAGTAGAAACAGTGGCTGGTCTGAAAGCTCATGTCTACATGCGATGCTGTCATCCTTGACAATGTCCAGCAGAGTCACCGCTGGACCGCGTCCATGAACTGCCTGAGTTGCCAAGTCAAACTAGGACTGTACTTTATACTGTCTTTCTGTGCGAGTGCAACCCTGAGCAGTGCCTCACGTGATCTTGCTGGATTGACGTCCAAGCTTGGACCAGTTTCGACATGAAAACAGCTTCTCCTGCTTGTGCTCTGTTCCTTTGACCTGTGTCCTCTGGCAGAGGCAGCATGCGGAAAACGTGGTCTCAAATGAGCTTTGTTCACTGTCGATCTGCTGACGCGCGTAAGCGGAGTGAGGATATGCTTGTCAACTGTTGTGGTTGTTGTTTGTTTGGTTGTTTGTTCGTTCAGCTGTTTGTTCGTCCGTTCGCTGGGTTTGCAGGTTTGTTCGTTCGTTTGGGTGTCTGTTCGTTCCTTCGTTCGTTCGCGCGTTCGTTTTGGTTCGTTGGTGTGTTTGTTCGTTGGCTCGTTCGTTGATTGGCTTGGTTGTTTGTTTGTCTGTTTGTCTGTGTGTGTGTCTCTGGGTGTGTGTTTACTTGTTTGTTTATTCGTTTGCTTGTTCGTGTGTTTGTTTGCTGGTTTGCTTGCTTGCTTGTTTGTTTGTTGTTTGTTGCTTTCTTCGTGCTGCGGTGTGGATTTCGGAACCTTACCTGACGTTCGTGACTTTCGTCCTTGTCCACAGTATTCTTTGTGGTGTGCTTTTGCCAAGCTTTTTCGTCTATTCTCTGGTTTAGAGCTCGACTCATGATGACGCTTGTTGAAGGGGTCTGGCCAAAAATCATTAGAGGACTTGAGGGTATTTGAATTTCACGGTAAGCAAAACCAATGGTCTGATGTAATTGTAAAAAGTACTATTAGCTTATTGGTGGTGCGGTTTGCACAAATATGAGTAAAGGGATTACAGGCAGTACTCACTATAGTCATTTTGGTGGACGGTTTGGTGTAGTAAATGATTATGCAATTCTTAGCATGGTTGTGTTTGGATAGTGTTGGTTGCACTCCATGCATTGGCTTCTTTCTGTCTTGCGCTCGTTCTACCTGTCTGTGGTTTCTTTAGGTTGTTCTTTGCTTATCTATTTCGTTCTTTATTTCTGTATTTAACTCATCAATGTAATTCTTTCTTTGCTTATCTGTAGTTCGTTCGTTCTTTCGTCCGTTATTTCTTTCTGTATTTCTTTCGTGCTTCCTGTCGTTCTTTCTCTCGGTCCCTCTTTATGTCTGTCTGTCGTTCTTTGTTTCTTCTTTTGCCGTGCGCCTTCATCTTCATCTTTCCTACAAACAAAGAAAGGAGCAAGATCAAAAAAAAAGGACGAAACAACCAAAAACACTCTACCCCATATAAGCTGTCTTCTGAAGTAATCCGAACCCTGTGCAACTGTATAACTGCCTTAATAACTCAGAACGTATACCGTTCATTTCGCATTGTGGCCTTTTTGACAACTCTTTGCTCCCCGCACGGGCACCTGCCCCGCCCAAAACACGTGGATACGGGGCCAGCGCTCAAGTTGAAATCAATGAGCAACACCGGCAGCAAGCAGTGGATCCAACACATCTCCAATCCAGACTTCCAACTATCAGCTGCAAGAACCAGAGCGCGATGAAGCATACTCAGTTGGTAAGTCATGGCAGAGGGGCTCCATGGTGATCTCCCCACTGTTGGTCACATTTATCCTTGGTATGCACCGCGTAGAAGTGATGCTACAAATATTGACACTTCTGGACCCTATGCATTCAAATGATGGTGGTTGCAGTCTAGTGCTCAGAATCCGAAATGCTGATGACAACGGTGCAGCTTCTCTGCACGTACCGAAAGCAAGCAGATCTAGAGCACTCCGAGCAGCTCTCGAAAGGCTTCCTCAAGCCATTCGAGTGGCACTTCCTTTCCGAAACCTTGTTGGGCAAAAGCAAGGCACAGGATGCATTAAGCGTACATCAAGCTGCGCACAGACGTAGGAGACAAAAGCAGCAAGAGATTTTTAAGCTGGGCGGCCATGGACTAAAGAGTACAGGATACACTGCAAGGCTCCACTATCACCAAGGCACCGTCCGCCCTACGCTTGGTCAAAGACGACCCTTTCGACGCAAGCATCTTGAATTCCTCAGACAGACCTCTCAGCGCGCAGCGCCCTCCCTGTCCGCGTCGACTGCCCCAGCGAAGCCTTTTCGTTTCTCGTGAAGGATGATGGAAATTTCAAAGTCAGCAGCTAAGCAAACACTGTGAAATCGCCATCCATGTGAAAGCGTCAATGTGGGATTTGCGGGGCTCCTGCTCGAACTCTCTTACTCCAACTCCTGAGGGAGCTTGAGGGGCACACACATTCTCATAGCCTATCCATGAAAGGTCATCGGACGTCAGACAAGGGGCACGCGTGCCAATGCTTTGGGCACGTCGCGCGTATCCTGGCCGCCCATGAGGACTAGACATGTCATGTTGCACCATCAACCCTGCTAAGACCCGAAGACAAGCTTGCAGACCTTCCAGGGCTCTCTCAATGCCTGCTTGCCACCATGCACGTACTTGATACCATTCTCATGGCAGGAGGTTGCTAATGTCACTTCATTGTCACAGCTTCGGGCTTCGACGATGATGATCATGATGGAGGAGGAGGAGGATGGCCGTAGCGATTGTGTGTGTGTGGTGATGACGATGACGATGACGATGATGATGATACTGATGAAGATGATGATGTAATGATGATGATGGTGATGATGATGGTGAGGATGATGATGATGATGACGATGATGATGATGATGTAATGATGATGATGATGATGATGATGATGATGGTGATGGTGACGATGATGATGACGATGATGATGACGATGATGTAATCATGATGATGATGATGATGATGACGATGACAATGATGATAGTAATGCCGATGCCGATGCTTGTTTGGATGCTGCTGATGATGGTGATGCTGAAGACGCTGAAGAAGATGACGATCATGACCCTCGTGACAAAAAAGTCACGAGCAGGATTCAAATGTCGGACCAAAGCCGAACAAGAAGGCAACATCCAGATTCTGGGCACAAGCGGAGTTCGAAAAGTCATCCGCTTCTGGCCTGTTGGGGCGAGAGCCAATAAAACGGGTTGAGTGCCTGCAAAAACCTCTTGCGCTTTGTCTGTGGTGTGACAAAACCGCTCTCCAGCGCGAGACACAGACTTGCAGGCTCGCGCAAGAAGCCAAGCAAGGTCGCTTAAACTCTTAAAGCAATCTGAATGACCCCTTTCAGGCAAGGAAAAAAACGCTTTCCTTGCTCTGTGGATGAGAAGACCGTTTGAAAGGCTACGTGTTGCGAGTCCTTGTGGACTTGCGCTTGATGGCTTTTTCGCGGGTGTTGTGGGACAAATAAGTCAATGAAAAATAGGTGCTCCTGCTGGACAGCCAGCGACAAAAAAGGACTTGGAAGCTCTCGTCTCGGGGCTTTCAATCGTGTCCCATTCTGCAGCTTTCGTGGGGGTGGCGGTGCCAGCAGGCAGTGATTCGTGTGTGAAGGCTACACAGTATGCACCACCCTTTGAACCGAACCGTCCAAACAGCAGCCGCCAGTGCACCGAATCGAATCCTCGCGGTCTTGTCATGCTTGCATGTTTAGAAATAGAAAACTAATCCGCTGCACTTGGTCGTACAGTAAAGACTCAGACTCAGTAGCATTGCTTCTGCTGCAGCATAGCCTTGGATGTCTTTGTCCGATCCTTTTCCAGCTGACGAGTTCGCCTGCTGCTGCAAGAGCCATGATGCACATGTAAAATTAAGCACACTGCTTGAACCCAAATAACCAAGCTTTCCTAACCAAGACTGCATGTCACGGGATGATAGCAGAAAGCCAGGGCCTAGGCAGGACATTCTGCAATGATGTCGGGTTCAGCTGTCACTGCAAGCTAGCACGTTGGGGCCTGACATTTCAAAGCAGTCTGACTTCCAAAACACAATTAAGCCGGGCAGCTGACCCTGCTTCATGCCTACAGCATCCAGGCGCATCCGCAAATCCTGTGCAGGCCTTTCTTGGGCCACTTTGAGCCTCTCGAGTCGACTTAGACGTGCATCGGCCTGGGCAGAACTGGCATCTCTCGCAAACTTCGCCAGACCGGTACCTCTCGCTCAAAAAACTACACTTTGAGCCTGTCGTTTGAGACACTTCTGCCTCACTTCTCTTGCCACCCCACAAGCCCCGCAGGTGACAAAGCGACGCACTGAAAACATGCTTGCCCGCACCATTCACCATCGACATGCGCCGGCTGAAACTGGGTTCATAGACCAAGCGATGGTCGGTGAAGGCACGAAGCACCGTTTGATAGCTCGTGCACGCGAGGAACGATGAAACCGAACGCAGCAGAAAGGCTGTGGGAGCCCCCAAGCTTTGGCTGGATGAGCTGAGCTGGGTGCCTTGAGCTTGGCTTGGCGCTCTTCTGGACTTATCTCTTCCTGACCCAAGGAAGGCGGACCATGTAAAAGTAGAGCATGGATAGGTGTCCCAATAGAACAACCACAATGAGTAAGCTGCACGATGCTTGCTGACAGAATTTAGAGGAAGGCTAAGTCGTCAGCACTTGGATGACTTTCAAGCCATTGGGCGAAGAAGGCCCCACCCCAGCCTCGTCCGACACCTGCACACCACATGCAGCCCAATGCGTCTTGCAAGATGGGCTTGTGATTTGCCCGAATGCTCTCGCAGCATGCAGGTTACTTCACGGCAGGATAAAGTATGCCTACAAATCCGCCTCTGCTTCGCCACCGATGACCATCTGCCGCTTGGGCGGCCGAGTTAAAGCTTTCACCGAGTTATAGACCTCGGATGGTCGGACACAAGACAACAGATTGCGCCGCCGTTAGGCTGCGTCGGGTCGAATTTCAAATCTGCGCTCACCTTGCGCCAGCACCAAGAATTCAGGGAATTCCCCAACCTCAAAGCCCGAAGGCTACTAGAGGCCTGCTGGTTTCGCCCAGGTAGCAGCAAGGACCGCGGAGCCGCCGGCGAAAGCCACCCCGCCAAGCTCGGAGGGACAAGACTTTTTATGTCTAGATCGGGCGACTCATTACAT